GCTCGGTGCCACGTTTCTACGTCGAGGATATTTTTCATGAGGTAGACATCGCCCATCCTTCGGGCATGTCGGTAATCCTCCCCCACCTCTGTGAACAGCCACTGCGGGTCCTTTTCCATGTCCTCCATCATTATTTCGTACAGGCCGTGCCAAGGTAGGAGGTCGAAAATGGCGGGTCTCGGGGTTGGTCCATTAAGAAGGACCTGCTTCACCGCTGCCATCACCATTGGTTCCAGGGCCTGGTTTGGGGGTCGACTCGGCATCCTTGGCCGCCTTCCTCTCTCGGGCGAGGCGGTCGAGCTCGAGATTTCTCCTTTGTCTCCCGATGTCGGAGTCGTCATCGGTGACCTTGGCCTCATAGGCAGCCCAGGCCCTCCTTCTGGCTTCCAGATCGGTTCCTGCTCTTCGTGCCGCTCCAGTGTATCGGACGGCGGCTGCTCGTATTCTGTTTCCGACCTCGGTCGGGGTGGCGTCAGGTTCGAGGGGTAAGTCCCACCATCCGTCGGGTCCTTGGAGGGCATCCTCTTCGGCTCGACGGATGCGTGCATCATGCACTCTTCCTTGCTCCATTCTGGCCTCGATTTCTGGGGATTCCCGGGCAGCTCGAGGGAGTTCGAGGGACTCGACGTACGTGTGATATAGGAGAGGCCACGGACGCTGGGATAAAGGGACGGGGTCGGCGAAGGCTCGCGCTGGGACGCTTGGTTCCCAGTCGGAGACTCCGGCGAGGCGCTCGGAAACGGTAATTGTTCCAAGTTCCTCGGAGTCGTACTCTGGGAACTCGCCCCAAAGCTCCCTATCCGTCGGCTCGTGCGCGGGGACGGAGGGGGAGAGCGGAGGGGTCTCGGCCCCCTCAGGGACTTGGTCGGACTCGATTCCGGTCTGGTCTCTGGCCACAACAGTCTCTTCCCCTGGATCTGCGTAGACCCAACTTGTGTGGGGGTACCAGGCAACTGGCTCCCCCCGATCGGTCGGCCAGGAGCTTGGAACAGGCTGTGGGTCATTTGGACGGGTGGTAGCCGCGGAGGCTCCGAGGCCAAGCTCTCCGGAATCGTCGTTGAAGTCGTCTCGGGCCCTTCCTCTTCCGTACTTCTTTTGCTCGCTTCTCCAGTCTGCATCTGTCCACTTATCCTGGGAGCGTCCGCTCCAGCTGTCTCCGGTATAGCTTGCATCCTCCTCCTCGTTCGGATAGAGGTCGTCGAGGAGGGCTTCGAGTCTGACCCTCTTGAGGTCGGTGAGCTCGTCGCCTTCGAACTCGGTGTCAGGGCTTTCTTCGCCCGTGACCAGAGGCCTGGTGCCTTGTCTTCCGGCTCCGTCGGCGCTTGACTCGCCCTCGACTGGAGCGACGTCGAAGAGACCTGGTAGGGGCGAGTCTCCTCTGTCGAGGAGTACCCCCCGGGTATCTGTGATATCGACGGAGTCTCCTGACTTGGTAGCGCTTCTGTAGGAGTCGGTGCTCGACTCTGAGGATCGCGAGCTGGGTCGCGACGATCCATAAAGGGACCCTCCAGGTCCCCTGGGTGTGATGGGTCGGCCATCGTGAAGGGTTTGTTGCGAGGCCGCAGGGATGAAGATTATCGGCGGTGGGTAGGCCGGTGTTGCCGGCACGTAATGGAACGGGAGTTGTGCTCGTACGCGCCTCTGTTGGCGACAGCACCGTTGGATGTAGTACAAGGAGGTGAACAAGAAAAAGGTTATAAAAAGCGCGGAGATGACGGGAATGGCGTCGGATAAGGGCATCCGTTCGCAGGTTTATTTTCGTAGATAGCCTGCGGTGATGATGGACCATGCGACGGATAATACGAGAATGGTGAGGGCAGCGAGGGTTGCGATAATCAGGTTGAGGTCAGTCTCGTAGTTGGGACTGGTCATCAATGATGTATTGTCGTCGAAGGAAGGGTCAGTCAATGTCAGCAGTACGACTGCTAACAATGAAGCTAACTTTAGAGATAGGTTAACGGGATTCGTGGTGCCTCAGACAAGAGGGAAGTATCCGCCGTACAGGGCAGCTAGCAGTCCTGCTAGGAACGGTGCGGCGATACAAACTTGAACGAGGGCGAGGGTGAGGAGTACAGTCACTAGGACTGCAAAAATCGGGTCATTGATAATGTGAGGGATGATCCAGGCGATAACGGCAGCCTGAAGCAGTAAGTCAAAGGGTGTAACCCAAAGGACTACTGCGACGAGAAAGTGTATCGGATGAATTTTGAAAAGGCGCTTTTCCGTTGGTCCACCCGTAGTACGCTAACAACCACGAGGTTGTCCTTTCGAACGCACAATGGTGACCTCTCTGGTCAAGCAGGAGGGAATCGTCTGTGGAATGACTTGGGCAACGCTCTTTCTCGGAAGTGACGTTGAGCAAGGTTGGTTGAGCTTCGGCTAAATGTTAGCCACTAACTCTTATCGACTTAGATCAACCAAGGATCGCCACTCGCACTTCGGTGGACGATACTCTCAGAGGTCAAAGGCGACAGTGGTGAGTCAGGGACGAACTAGATAGTTCGCGAAGTCGTGAGCTTTGAGTTAGGTAGATTAAACCTTAGCCGAAGCTGGGGTTTAACCCAGCAGAGGCTCTACTTAAATACACGTTTAGTATGCTAAAAATAGTACTGTGAGAAGGTCCGATAGGAATCGTATCATAGAGTAAGCGTGAACACGTAATAAAAGAAAAAGAAAAGAATAAACCGTAACATGCAAGAGTAAGGGAAAGAGTAAGACCAGTGATGAGAAACCACGAGAGAGGCTTTTAAAAACAACACACAGCATCTTTGAGTTAAATAGCATGGAGTCAAACCACCTAAGTAAGTATCATGATTGCAATCAGGGGTCAAGTAAACGATGTTGAAACAGGCCAGTACAACCCAAGTATACAACCAAGAAACCACCTGTTGAGCTTTTCAGCTTAAGACATGACAGAAGTTCGCAAATACCAAAGGATTTTCTAGTACAAGTCTCGCAGTAAGTATGCTTGAAGCATGAAAATTTGAAATTTGAAATTTGAAACATTGATATCGATCATTCGTAAGGCAGGAGATTCAATTTGTACTTGTAATCAATTTACTCAGCATGGAAAGCACGACACCATTAATATTTCTCCTCATCATCAGGCTCTAGTCCTCACAAGATGCAGATTTTTACCAAATTCTCTCCATAGCTCGGTTGGCATTGTCAGAAATAAGAGTATATCACAAGGTGCTTCTACAGCACCACCCAGACAAGAATGCTTTTCGCAAGGAAGGCCGAACCTGCATAGATGTAATAGTGATCAAAGAGGCTTATTTTATTGGGCCTGGCCTGGGCAGATTCTGTTTGGTGACACAGGTCTTTATGACGTGAAGATCCTTCCAAAATTAGATATGGGAAGGCCTCGGGGTCATCTTGATTGTTTGGACAAGGAACCATTGATGAAAGATTGGGACCATTCGGCGTGAACGCAGAGATGCCGCTGCGACGGCGTCTATACAAGCAAATGGAACATGGATATCATTCAATTTCTATTGCTTGCAGCAGCTGCTCTGAGGACATTTGGGTCGGAACCAAGTTTGCGGAGCAAGAAGAAATCAGTGGAGCGTCTCTTTCGTGGCAGTTTTCTATATGCTGATGACACACAAGCTCAGTGAAGGGGTGAAGGGTGGATATCAATCCGATCAACCAGTGTTGTGCTGCCCATGTTAGCCGTGTTGTGCCGGTCAGCGACTAGGTGCAAGGGACAAGTCATCAGTCAACCGTGAAGCCAGGGCCCTTTTTGCCTTGACCTTTTCCCATGGCCTTTGGTACTAGTGGCTCATACTGGATACCACCACCACACCTTCATACCATGTTTGCACTAAGATTTAAGTAGTTCTGAGTCATTTCTACAATAGTTCTTAATTAATCACTAATAACGGAAGCTAAGTGCTAAAGTGTCATCAATATAGTATCAATACCTATGCCCCCCCAACAACATCACCATCGGCATCAAGGTCACATACCTCATACAATTCCAATTCCTCTTCCACTGTTCCAAACTCCGTGGCGCTGATGTCGATGAGTGGTACACTACGACATTGATTCAAATTTGAATGGATCATGAAGAAGGAAGGAAGGTTTATTAGTCGTCAATGCTCTCGAACAGAGATGTAGCGATGTCTGTACTACAGCAAGCAATCTAAGGTATAATGATATTTAGCTGCTATGGGTCCAAACCAACCCTATATTCTGCTGCTTTGGTTAATGGGTGAAAGCTATGCATCAGCGAATCGAACAAAAATATATATGGCCGTATAAGCCCGTGGCAAGGCTCGAAATGCATGGCAATGTCCGAAATAATTGCACCAGCCTTATATGCCCATATGAAGTGTGGAAAAATGATAATTCTACACATATCCTTATGAGCATTTCCGATATCAGTAATGCATGTCAGGCTTCGAAAGGTATTAGTACAATTACTTGATGCCATGGGCAAATATAACCCGAGCACCATCTTAAAGCGGGCTGTAGGAGATTCATACCGGCTTCGTGCTGGCACTCATATCTTATCTCTTTCTTTCTTATCTTCTTAATCTGTGGCTCTTCTACTTTACTGCAGGGATCCCACTTTTCTATTACTTATTGCACCTTTTCTTTTACTCTAGCCAAGTTCTCCTTATAGTATAGACCCTATTTTACTAGTATATAAGACCTAACTTACTCCTACGTACTCCCTAGAACTACTCGAATAGAGGTTCTTTTCACCTGGTCTTTCCTCCGTTCGACTACTCTCTGCTTCGTCTAACTCTCGTGTGCCATTACTGCCAACTTCCTGTCACAGTACCATCACATATTTTTGACCTACAAGAACTTCGACTTCAACAAAAGCCTTACCGGCAAGGCTTCGTCGATTGGAACTATCTGGCTTGATCACCTGGACCTCCGCATGACTTTGCCTCGCCATCTCAATATTCCGACACCTTCTTGCTTTTTCCTACCTCTCTAAACTTGCTTCAATTTTTTTTCTCGCTTGCTGCATCTTAGTCTTGACTATGGTGCCGTTTACCCATTCAAAAGGGGTTGCTCCATTTTCTCAGGGGCTCCCTCTTCAGGGCAATAAAAAGGCACCTGCCGTTTCCGCTGAGTTGCCATCTATTCAATCTAAAAATAATGCTGACCTTTTGGGGGACATGGAAAGCCCCCTTACTAGCATTGCGAGCCTCGTGCCTGACACCAGCATGAGAAGCTTGGGCCCTGTCTCCATAGATGAGAAGGGAATATTCTCTTGGCCTGTGAAGGAGGAGTCTGTCGCATCCAAGGACTTCAACCTTCCTAGCCAGTATGGCAGTCGCGTTACTGCGAATGAGCCGAATTCCATGGGTTTTCAAACCGCGTTGGATGTAGATCTTCTGGATCTCGATGACAATTCTGTCGTTCTCCACCCTAGCAAAGTTATGGGATGGGAGACTGTGGGGAAGAAGAAGGGTAGACATACCCCTTCCCTGGACCCCGGTTTGAAAACCACCGGGTTTACTGCTAGCACGAAAAATAGATATGAAATTTTATCTGATTCAGATGTTGATGAAAATAAGGTCACTATTGAGAATACCGTTAAATTTGTACATGACGTATGCCAGAAGCATTTTGAAAAGCAATTTCTCAATATTCCAAGTCAAGTCCAAAGGGAACAAGAGGCTGTGGCAGAGGCAGCTCAACTCGAAGCTCAGGCTGGAGCTATGCAAGCTGAAAATGTGTCGAACTCAGAGTCAGATACCGAACATGAGGCAGGAAATGAAATACCTGCAGAAAAGCCTTTTGTCAACAAAGGAAAGGTTCATGATTTTCGTGTGTTGAAATAATCCTAGCGGGTATGGAAGCACACGAGGGATCAGGGCACAAATACGGGATTGATGCAGTACATGAGCAGTGAGTACGTAGTCAATCGAGTAAAGAAGAAGAAAGCGTAGCTACAAAAATTTACCGGTATGTACATGTGACTGATTACCAATAAACATGCGAGCCACAAGCTCGATATCCAACATCGCGACACTGGAATTCCAGGGATTGACAATGAGGAATTGGATCCTGAGAATCAGCGCCATGCTTGGGAGAACTTCGATTCCTTGAAGGATGAGGATCCCGAAGTGCAAAAGGCGATCTATGAAGATGTCATGAGATCGTGGAAGGCATGCAAGTGTTCCTCTGCCAAACCTGACAGCCAGATTAGTGGTCCCTCCAATGTGGAACCTGAAGTATTCCGTACCTCCACCCCTGTAATGAAGGGTGAGGTTTCGGGCGATGGAGAGGCCGTGAACTTTACCCCACCGATTACCAGCACCCCGATCTCGAAGCCTGTAAAGAAGGTTAGGATCGCGGAGGATGTCAAGACTGAAGAGATGTTCGATGCAACTTTGGGCAACCAAAAGGTGCGTTCCAAGTCATTGAGCCCTTCGGTCCTGAAGGCTAGTAGTCTTGGTGGTTTGCGGGGACGGTCCCCACTATCAGGTTCTAACAATGTGATAGGTAACCCCCACATTGATATGCGGCATATGATTGGTGTCACACAGAATGCCATGCAAGGCAACAAGCATCAGGAAACACCCAACGTTTGGTGTGGACCAGCCTTCGCAGCAGATCAAGTTGCTCCGAATAGTTACCTGGGGAGAGCTTTGAAAAAGTCTGTTGACAGTGCAGAACTGGTTAACGCACCTGCCGATGAACCTGATGATTCTTCTTCTTCTTCTTCATCCTCTTCCTCGGATGATGAGTCTAGCTCTGGGAATGAGCACCATAAGAAGAAACATCACAAGAAGAAGAAATCATCACGCCGTTCCTGTTCTCATTCTCATGACCGATGGGAGAAGCCAATCCTGCCATGTACATACAATGGTAGTGATGACCCGAAGTTAGTTGCACGTTTTATTCAGGAATGTGAACAGTATCTGAAGATGGGAAACGTTAAAGATGAGGACAAGGTATTTCGGATTTCTCGTTACCTTGAGGGCAAGGCCCGTGATTTCTATGACCAAAGTGTTAGTATGAATTACAACGAATGGGATTTAACTACCTTCTTCTGGGAGATGTTTAATTACTGCTTCCCTCGGGATTTCTGGGCTAAGGTTCGTCAAAGAATCAGGCAGTGCCTCCAGGGTGATCGTGATGTACGCGTGTATTCTCATGAGCTGAAGAGACACTACCATATGCTCGGAGATGAGTCAGAACGTACTCAAGTGCTCTGCTTGTGGTATGGGTTACGGTGCGATCTCCGGGAAGAGCTGAGTCGTCGTTTCTATGATGAGAAAATCAATACGTGACACGAGATTGTTGATATGGCCGAAATCCTTGACATCACTCAGCGTAGAGATGAAGGGAAGTCTCGTGGGGACTATGAACATAACCGCCATGCCAAGAACCGTCGCACCAATGAGACGACAGAGCGGAATAAATGGAACGACATACCTCGCTCGAAGCAGGATCATACTCCCAAACCTGCACATCAAAGCTTCAATGACAAACTACGTGAATTGTCAGGCATTCCATGTAAAGGGCCTGTTCATAATTGGGAAAAGCCTGTAGTGGATAAAAAGTCCCCCTGGCATGAGCACAAGTTGGATAAGAAGCAACGTGATGAATACCTGGCTGAAGGGAGGTGTTTCCATTGCGGAAAGGTCGGACACACCTCACGACAGTGCCCTGAGGGTAACACTGTAGCCTCTGGCTCGCGTTCTGGTCCTCCTGGTTGAAGGAAACCTCCCATGATGTCCTCCTCAAATATCCAGTTCAAGTTGAAGGAAGCGGATCGCTTGTCTAAGGCCGCGGATAGATCCACTAGCTTCAAACTCAACAGTATTGGCTTGGAGCTTAATGACGACGGTGTGGACGACATATCTAGTCATTCATGGACTCCCACGGATGCTGAGTTATGGCTCGACCAACCCATGGGTGATATGCTGGACGAGTGGTGGACTTGGCGTATGAATGCTGAGTTGAACTGGCCAGATACACTTGCATTGAGTGGTTGCGAGGGCATGGGGGGGGGGGGGGGGGGGGAACCACGGTTCAGTATGTACTGGACTAAAGGTGTTCGATTTGTTTTGTTTGATGCCTTTCGTGATGAGCAGGACGAGGTGGTTGTCCCTAGTGACATTGTTCAATATGGTGACATGGTGTCATGGTACTGAACATACCTTATACACACATATGGCATCCCCTCTGTAGAACTCCCTCCTCCACTCAGTAAGGACTTAACGGCTGCGTTCGTGGAGGAATACTTGGATGCCGGTTTCAATGATGGTTTCCATGGACTTGCTCAACGCTTTGGAGTCTCATACAAGAGCCCCAATGTTTTTCGGATTCACGATCAGGCATTAAATCATGAATTTTGTCTCGCTCGTAGCACGGCCTTGCATCCCAAATTCAGACTCTACAACTGGTGGTTGGCTTGGGTTCAATGCTGGGAAAAGAAACAGTTGCGTACAAATTGCTGGTCCAGCTGGAGAGTTGGTCTCGCTGGGCTGGAGGGCGGGTATGTAGGAGATTCCTGCCAAACACGTAGACGTAATCGTCAATTAGACAGTTTGTATCTTGGACATGTGGGCTATAAGCGAGATAAGCTTACTGCCATCCAACGTAACGTGGGCACTCCTCACGACTTTACCTGGATGGTCCCAAGGCCAATGATAGTTGATGTATTCATTGAAGGACATAAAGCACGAGCCCTCATTGATTCAGGCTCGTTGTCAGATTTCATGTCTACCACACTGGCTGACCAACTGAATCTGAAAAAGATTGAACTTGAGAAACCAATTTCACTTCATCTCACAGTCCAGGGGTCACGCTCGAAAATAAATTACGGGACTCGACCTAGATTCCAATATCAAGGCATAGATGAACAAAGATACTTTGATATTGCGAATCTCGGAAACTACGATGTAATACTCGGGACGCCGTTCCTCTTCCAGCATAAGGTAACTATGGGGATCAATGAGAATATCGTTCACATTGGAAGTGAGGAGAGCCTACCTATTGAGGGCTCCAACGTAAGTGAACTAGCCTCTCGTTCAGTCGAATTGGCAGAAGAGGCTATCTCGGATGTGCGGAATATAATCCGGGAATCCGCATGGGCTCGAGGGTTGTTTGACGATGCAGCGAAAGCTCCATTACCCCCTTTTAGACCTATCAATCACGAAATTCCACTAATTGATGACAACAAGACTTACCATTGGCGGCCTTCAAAATGCCCTGAGCCATTACTGGGGCAATGGGTTGAAAAGAAAAGGGATTACCTGACTACTGGTTGCTGGAAGGTGACAACAGCTCGGAATACTGTTCCTATGTTATGCATCTTTAAACCCAATAAACCAAAAGGTATGCCAGAACTACGTACCGTGTTTGATTTGTGTGAACGTAACGCGAACACTCGTAAAATGGTGGCACCACTTGCTTCAATTGATGGTATCCTTCATCGCGTTGCTGGCCGTCATTTCCGTTCCTTGTTTGATTTACAAGCAGTGTATGAACAGATTCACATAATCATGGAGCACCTTGACCATACAGCCATCACTATGCCTGACGGAAATATGATAAGTCTTGTAATGCAGCAAGGTGATTGCAATGCACTGGCCACCTGTCAAGCCTTGATGAATCACCTATTTTCACCGTATATCGGTGTCTTCATGGACGTTTACTTGGATGATATTATTGTATATTCAGACACTATTGAAGAGCACGCAAGACACTGTGAGCTTATATTTGACATCCTCGAAGAGCAATGACTTTACCTTAGTGAGAAGAAGTGCCAAATCCTGGCACGAGAATTGCATATCTTGGGGCATATCGTAAACGACAAAGGAATCAAGATGGATCCTTCGAAAGTCGACACTGTACTAAATTGGAAGGTGCCGACGAACCGCGAGCTGCTGAGTGGATTTCTTGGGTCAGTAGGATATTTCGCTGACAACGTAGACCTGTGTCCGGGTACCCATGGGAGTACTGCACACCTTGACTGGAGCCACGGTACCTTGGAATTGGACTGAGACACATCAGCGAGCCTTCGAACAAGTAAAGGATTATGTACATCGATGGTGAGAGAACCACCGGGTTCCCCTCGATTACTCCAAGGATGCACCGATGAATAAACGTCGTAACTGATGCTAGTAGTACCTGGGATTGCTGGCATAGTTAGCCAGGGCAATGACTGGAAGAATGCGAAGGTAGCAGCGTTTTTCTCTGCAAAGCTGAACTCCACGCAACAAAACTACCCCGTACATGAACAAGAGATGTTCGCGGGGGTAGAGACAATGCGCCAACACCGTGATATACTGCTAGGGTGTCACTTCAGGTGGTACACTGATCACAAAGGACTAATTCACCTGTTAAACCAGCGAAACCTGTCAGGACGGCAGGCTCGTTGGATGGAACTACTGTCTGATTTCAGTTTTGAGGTGATATACATTCCTGGAACTGAGAACGTACTCACAGATGCCCTGTCTCGTTTGTACTCAAACGAATCTCTTGGTACCGTATGCGCACCCTCCGAGTTCCCCCAACACAATAAGGACCATCCTCCCTTGGATCCCACTCATCTTGAAGTAACCACACCCATGTTGACTGGTCTTGAAGCAAACGCAATCATGTTGACACGTATGGGCTCTGGTGCTAAGCCTAAGTGGAATTTGAAACCCAAAATTCACGCGAATGAGTCATCCTCGGCGTTCGCAAAACAGATGGTGGATAAGAGATTCGTATTACACGGCCCCAGGCCGTCTGAGGATCCTGAGAGCTCGGATACCGCACTCGGTAGTAGCAGTGATGAGGTGGAATCATCAATGCACAACGAAGTTGGCATTGTAATGGAGGGTGCGCCTGCCATGGGACCATCGACATCAGACAACGACGAGGTGGTTGCACAGCCACATGTGCAACGTGGCTCGATTGGGGACCCGGCTATACCGGATTCAGAGTTACTGGTGGCTGGGGCTGTGCCAGGCCCTGACATGACCTTAGCGAGTTCCTCGCTGTCGTCCCTCACTGGCCTTGTTTCCTCACAATTACTAGGAATCGACTTGCTCCCCGTTATACGTGCCAACGCCCATAGTGATACTACCCTATCCAAAATATTGGCCTCTCCGTCCCACTTCAAGAACTTTTCAGTGGAGAATGGACTAGTTTACCTATGCGAGGGAGGTCGCAAGCTCCTCTGCATCCCAGAGAGCATTTGTGTACGTGAACGTGATTTACGAGAGATCGTGATCAGTGAGGCTCACTCTCTGGTGGCCCACCTCAGATCTTCAAAGACGTTGGCCTACCTCAGAGACCATGTCTGGTGGAAGAGTATTGCAAGGGATACTCGGGCCTATTGTGAGTCCTGTTCAATGTGTAAACAGAGTAAACCTACTAATCAGAAGCCGTATGGCTTGCTGAACCCACTGAAGGTGCTGACCTTCCCTTGGGAGTCAATGGGTTTTGACTTTGTAGGTCCTCTCCCTGAGTCTTCGAACAGGGATGGTTCGTTTAACAGTATTTCTGTTTTTATAGACCTATTAACTGGCATGGTACATCTTGTACCTTCCTGAACCAACTACAAGGCTTCTCAAGTCGCTGAGCTCATTTTTGCAGAGATATACAAGCACCATGGCTTGCCGAAGAGTATCGTATCTGACCGTGATGTCATCTTCATGAGCAATTTTTGGTCCCATCTGCACAAGCTGGTTGGAGTGAATCTCCGTATGTCTAGTGCTTATCATCCTGAGTCTGATGGTTCGACTGAGCGAGCAAACAGGACTATTACGCAGATGATTCATAATTGCATTTCACCTGACCAGAAAGACTGGGTAGCACGTCTACCCGCTATCGAGTTTGCTATTAATAGTGCTCGTTCAGATTCTACTGGGTACTCCCCTTTCTTCTTGAACACTGGATGTGTCTCTCATGCAATGATTTGGAACTCGTCGACTGACTCTGAGTTCCCCGGTGTTTGAGAATTTGCTGAGACGGTGAAGACTGCGTTGATGAGCGCTCACGATAGCATCCTCGCTGCACGATGATACGCCTGGTATCAGGCTACCTGTAGATTTTGCGATTTTACATCAGTTTATGCAATCTACAAGCGGTACAGAGGGCTACAGTGGAGGCTTCGCGCTGGTAGCTAGATACTACATAAAGAATGAAAGCATGGCAGTACAGAACGGACTTAGAAACGACATCTCAAAGAGTCAATTCTACCAGCTGTCAACACGCCAAGCTAAGCCCTACCTAAACAAGACTATTACAGTCAAATCTCGGGGACTCATCTGTATGGAGTATAAAAACCAAGAAGTTGAAGAATGGAACGAACTAGATGCCTCGTTGCCTCGACGAATAGAAAGAACCTGTCAGGAAAAATTGCTAAGTCGAGAAACAGATCAGCTTTCGAGATCAACTCAGGCTAGGAAAGGAATAACCTTGGAAGAATGAATAGCCGCGTTGGGTACCGAGATGACCGACCTTGATCGCGCAGTGATCAACAGAATACAATCTCGGACCTGCAGTCGATCACGATCGGTGGTTACATCCTCGAGATCCTGCGCATACTGCAGTATTCAATACATACGGCGCACGGCAGGCCTTGCAGACGGAAGAAGGAGCACCCACGGACTAGTAGGGCACTCCTCAGTGACAGAATAACCCAGCGCAGTCGTGTTGAACTGAATAGAAACTACGGAATGGCGCGATACTTGTAGGATAGTGACTCACTGTTTGTATTAATTCCAAAGCTCGTACCATAATTACTGTAGATACGGGCTCCTATACCTAAAACACGAATTGTATAAATTAGCAGCGACTAGACACATAACGGCAGGAAAGCATTCCCCCCGCATTTGTGCTAGTAGCCTGTATAGCTACCTAATCAATCACTGGTTTTTATTGCATATCCTCGACTGAAGTGAATTAAGTTACCAAAGTCAACCCATAAGGGCGACCACAGTAATCTAGAAAAGTTAAGTAGGAAGTAGAGCCGTCCCCGCGTTTGCGCCTTGCTAGTTAATTGAACTGCTCCACAGACAAAGGCCTCGTGTTCTCTCTCTCCAAGATTAGCGATCTAGACGTGCTGAGTCGACTTTAAATCAAAAGACCTCATCTAGTTGAAGTAAAATAAGCCCTAGAACGCTTTAAGTTTGAACAATCGTCGAGTTCAAGGAACTCCAGAGTCTGTGTACTCTTTGCAAGTCTTGTACTTGAAGTCAGAACCTGAGCGTTCTTTGTAGAGTGATTTTGCACTCTTTGTAGACCTCGGAGTCTTTGGTTGTTTGATTATTTGAAGTGTCCGCTAGAAGTTCTTCTAGACGACGTCGAAACGAGCATAACTTGCTCGACTATACCTTACAAAACAAGTTCATAAAACCCCGCTATCGCGGACTAGTGTACTTTGTGTAAAACACATCGAAAGAAGAATTGAAGTTGTTTTCAGGCAAAACCCCACTAGATTATCTAAATCTAAGTACATCGTGAGTGCTTCTATTGTACTCACCCTCAAACTTATATACATTGGTGATTGTGTGTGTGTGTGTGTGATTTAGTATCTAGATTGATGATCTAGACACTTGTTTCATTTGCGCGCTGCCCGTTACCGAGCACATCAACGAGTCAAGCAAACACGTGATGCAAACAGGCATCGTCGGGTTTCCCCCCTTGCGGCAGAGGACTTGGTGTATATCTCAACAAAGAACATATCACTCCCCAAAGGTTTGGCTCGAAAGCTAGCCCCGAAGTTTATTGGACCTTACAAGATATTGCGGGACTTCGGGAATGGCTCGTATGAAGTGGAGCTCCCATCCGATCTCAAACAGCATGGTATTCATAATGTATTCCATGCCTCCCTCCTTCGGGTGCATGTCCCCAATGATGATAGGCTCTTCCCTGGTCGTCTTGACTCGCAGGTTGGACTTAGCGAGCCATTGGAGAAGGAGTGGAAGGTCTCTGGCATTCTTTCTCATGTTGGGAAAGGCGAGCGAGCTATCTTTCAGGTGGAGTGGGCTTCCGGGGATCACACCTGGCTCCCTTATGCTGAGGCTGAAGGACTAACTGCTCTTCAGGATTACTTCGATGTTCTTGGCATCACAAAAATAGCGCAGTTGAAGGAGGGTTCGGGCTCATCGGTGGACGAGCCTGGGTTTTTCCTAGGGGCCGTTCATATTGATCATGGCCCCAGGGTTTCGGAAGGTGGGAAGATGAAGAAAAAATTTTTGTCGGGTATTCGGGATGGGGAGGGACCTTTAGGTCATAAGAAGGACAACTTTGCGAAGGGATATTCTGCCGACCACTGCCTTGCTTACCTCCCTTGCCCACCTGACATTCATCAACATCTCGACGTCGGCCATTCTTTCATTCACTCCATCCGTAACACCTATTTAGCTCCACGACAACTTACACAGACCCTTGACGACCTCGACTCTGCGCTTTCTACCCTCCATATCTCCATTCACAACTCCCTCTATGCCGCCTCTTCCTGTTCTGATGAATTTCATCCGTGCGGGCCCATATTTCATCATGTTGAAGACCAAGAATGGGCCTTTGGGATACCACCACGAGCAGGTAACCCTGTACATCAAACATGCAAATCACTTAGCAAAGGGGGACATCCCCGAGGGTTGGGCCGAGCCTGCAGGATACAGGTCATTCGCGGCAGGGTGGAACAACGAGGACACACCCAGTGCCTTTCCTGTTCAACATGGAGGTACTGTGGAGAAGCTTTCCGACATTCGGGTAATCTTAGACGAGATATTCCCACCCACACCAGTCAAGAGGAAAGCTGGGGAGCAGGGAGGTCGAGAAGGCTCCCCTGCAGGACCCAGCTCCGGATGAGTTCTAACCGATGAGGAGTGGGCTACGGCCAATCGCGCTGTATGGGCTGAGGCGTCTGCTTCACAACGCCGCAGGGATCGCATCAGGTACGCCAAGAGACAGCGACAAGAGAATCGTTCCAAACGCAAAGAGTGGGGACTCAATACAGCTTATTCTCTGCACGTTGTCGGACCCCCCAGCCTATCCCCCGTGCCCGAAGACGTGCTTCCTCCCTCCGACACAATGGAGATGGACACGCCTGGCACCACCACCGCCGCTGACAAGGCCTAGATGAAGCTTGAATGTGGGATGCTTTCTTGAAAGCATCGGAGGGCGTATGTAGGAGATTCATACCGGCTTCGTGCCGGCACTCATATCTTATCTCTTTCTTTCTTATCTTCTTAATCTGTGGCTCTTCTACTTTACTGTGGAGATCCCGCTTTTCTATTACTTATTGCGCCTTTTCTTTTACTCTAGCCGAGTTCTCCTTATAGTATAGACCCTATTTTACTAGTATATAAGACCTAACTTACTCCTACGTACTCCCTAGAACTACTCGAATAGAGGTTCTTTTCACCTGGTCTTTCCTCCATTCGACTACTCTCTGCTTCGTCTAACTCTCGTGTGCTGTTACTGCTGACTTCCTGTCACAGTACCATCACATACCATAGCAGCTAGTAGTTTGTGGGTGGCTGGGGGCATGTATAATTTGTAGTTTCACTCTTCGAGACTTGGAGAGACCTGAAATAGTATATTTATTATTACGGTGAACATAATACAACACTACGGTTTACACAAGTGACCTCAAATTTATACTGTATGATCTCCCTCCTGCTCCTCCCTCTTCGCTGCCAATCGCTTCCCAGAGTTACTGTTAGGAGGGGACCTAGATAGTTCAATCTTTTCAGCCTTGAAAACATCACTAGGAAAAAGAATGTCACCTCAAATTGTTGGCATCGGACCTGCTCATCCTCGGCACTCCGGACACTATCAAAGAGTGACATCGTATGGGGAAGGGCACAACTCATTGGCTTGAATAACCCCCTAAGATGTTATGGAGCGAATCCCAAGGAGAGAACCATTATCAAACTCACCAATGCTTGACTTGAGTGCCCTTCAACACGACCACTTCCTCCTCCAACTCTGCAATACGTCTCTTCAAAAGACCACTAGTTGAACTTGATGCATTGATAGATGAGAGGATCCAAGCAGGCTGGAAATCTGCGATTCTTGGAGAGGTGGTGACGTTGCTTGAGAGCTGCGACTTCAGACTGTATTTATATTGAAAGAAATTACGTTGGAGTTCCGAGCTCGGAAGAAGACATCCGTGTCGGAGAAGAATAGGCCTAGAGGAGATAGTTCTTGTAGATCTGGCTCTGGCCCGATAGGCCTCCACAGCGAGAAGGAAAATGAGTAAGTAGCGGTGAGTTAAAACTCAGAATGAACCGCGAGCTATCACGTGGTACATCCGAACACAATGACACGATCGCAAGATCTCCGACTCGGAATCAACTAATTGGGCATCGTTTTTCATGCCATGCACCCCGTCTCACTTCTCATAATTTTCTTAGTGTCTGATGTTCTTTTTCCTTTCTCCCGTCTCCCGCTGATTCTGGCTGAACAGTGAAAATTCAGTAGAGCATCCAAAGGATCGTGACTTTCAATTCACAAGAACCGCTGTGAAGCCAATATTCGACTACAGGGTTAAATAAAGCTAGGCCATCCTCCACACACAAAACAGGAAACGATGGACCAGACCATGAAGACCATGATGGCGAGAGGCTCCCCATAGAAGGTGCTGATTCTGCAGTGGATCTGTAGCTCGACATCAATGATATGGGGTTTGCTGACCTGTAATACATTTATGTCATCGTTTTAGACACCTAGGAATTAAATTCAATTCTTACTACCATTTTTCAATCAGTTTTGAACCAGTCTGTGCAAGCCCAGCTACATTTTATTGTGCTTATGGTAGTGATACATGAACTGAAAATAATTCTATGCAATCTCAAAGAGCAAGTAATTATTACGTGGGTTTATAATAGCCTATGAAAAGGGCGCAACATTACGCCTTGGTTATATGGGCCTGTGAGGCCTTGACGAGGCGGATAAGAATTCCGCCGGACCGTGGTCGCCGCAACCCCCGGCAATTTTTTTCCCAATCTGCTGATGCGGGAGCAGATCGGCAGGCCTACTATCTTTATTTTCTGCGAAGAACATGCTTGACATTGAGGGCGTAAAAGACAAGTCACTTTGTTTGAAGATGGGATCACGGTTCACTCAGTGGACTATAGCGCAAGTGAGCAGAGCTGAAAGTAGAACAGAGAGGCATTTCAAGTATGTTCCGCGGTTTTCGCAAGTGAATACAATATGCCCCGTCCTTAGCTTCCTTCATGTCGACATCATCTGAGATCCGGATGTGGTTGGAGGGATGCGAATATGAGATTTGACGCCCTCTTGTTGCATCGCGCAGTAGGTATGTCAGGTGTAGTGGTTGGGGCATCAACGTGTCTCATCAGGGGATGTGCATGGCGTAGTTTCAGAGTCCGACTGGGACCGGAGATAGGCGATGCAATGGAGAGATGGAGATAATACTAATGAAAGCTTAGGAAACCTGTAGCAGTGTGCTAGTCTGATAAAATGTGGTTAGTGTTCGGTCTCAACGTATAGAGAGAAAACAGAGAACCTGACAAGCGCATGTCGATAGGGGGAGGGGACATCGTTATCTTCTCGTCATCCATATCATCATATGACTCATCGCTGTTGGCTTGGAAAGCTAAGTCTCGTATTTGGGAAAACAGGGCTATCGTGCATTCGGGGCGAACGGCGGAGCATGTGTGGGGGATGCGTAGCGGTGTAGCAAGAACAGTGGATGGAGTATTGTCCTATGGTGAAGTCGTCTTCAAAAGTTCCTGCGGTGTAGGTCGAGGGATCGGGTCGGTAAGATCCGGCGAGCTCCCAGGTGATATGGTGGAATGCATGTAGGAGTCGACCTCCCATTCAGCAGCTCGGAGATTGCGGTGCCTGTCCTGCGTTGGAATATTGCGGTGCGAGCTTTCGGGGTAGAATCGGCGAAGATCGAACTTGAAGATGATATGGATCTGGACCAAGTCGAGGATGCCTACGGTCGGTAGGTCCTAGTAGATGTGCTGGGAGATGTGAAACGGAATTTTGACAACTAGCGGCGTGGCAAGCGGCAACTGTCTTCGTTTTATGTGGCTTGGACCACCCAGCCATGGCGTTATTCAGCGAAAGCCACGATGGCTACAACGACCAAGCCCTGAGCTATGTTTGGGCGAGGGGAATATCGTAGGGACTGTAGATGAGGGCCTTCCGAACAATGCCCCTTCGACGACATCACGAAGGAACATCATGAAAGGAGTCAAGGTAGCCTTCGTTTCCGACTGGGGATTTCAATAGCCATGGGGTCTCCGTGTGTTTTCGAAGGAAAAAAGTGTGGTTGACAGGCGGAATGGTGGATGGCGCTGCTATACGTCAGCGTTATGCCCTGCTTGTATGCGCCATATGATGCAAATTTAAAGTGATTAGCGACCAGAGTAGGTTATCGAGATACTCCTGCTCTGAGTATACGGCGTTATCGTGGTCTTGAAGCCGTGTATCTCAATTACTACCGCTTAGAAACGAATCCAGAAGGAAGTTCGCGTTTTCGGTGACACGGTAGTTGATATTTTCTGGTTATCGTAAGTGAAAGATAACCAGACAGGGAGGAAGCGGACAAGGAAGATGAGGCAACGGTAGACACGGGTGCGAGGGAATGGTGCTGAAGGCTCCACTGACACTGCCAATGAACAAGTTCTCTTTGGAGTTGGCGTTTGCGTTGCTGAAGGAGCCTCTTCTCGGCGAATGACTATTACGATCTGCATATGGAAGTTGCGTCAGCGCAAGCCCAACAAGGTGACGATGGCAGATATACCCTGGAGTCATTGCTCATAACACGCTGGATGATGGCGACGCGACCCTCCAGTCACCAAAACGTCCCGCCTGCACGATGTCTTCCTCCTGACCCATCTCCACATCACCCTCCGCCCCAGACCGCCGCGTTAACATCTCGTCCTAGTCCCATTCAAGTTAAGGAGCACTACCTTTGACTAAATTAACCAAGGAATATCCGCAAATGTTGACGAGGAAAGGTTTCGTTGGGTAAGCATGCCAGAACTCCTAGGGGTTGAGAAGGTACGCATGCCTGAGTCAGTGCAGAATCCTCGATGGCGGTGAGACGAGAAAAGTTCAATCTTACCCGGTTCGGGCCGGCTCATTTCTCAGCCACCGTCCACGACGTCCGTCCAGTGTTTTCCTCCCCCGTTTCCTGCATCCTATGGGATTAGCTATCGGGCTCCGAGTCCTGTGAGAAATTTTCTCTCGATCGGATACTAGGTGTACTGCCCGTTTACTATCTCGTCATTCTTCTGTGTGCTTACCGCAGTCTCTTCTATATCCTCTTCATTTTATGCTTATTTCTTCGTACAATCTTATCCTGAATTATTCGCTCTAATGTATGTCACGCAGTTTTGATTCTGGATGTTTGGAACTGAACGAAGTGCAGTGTTTCTTCTCCTTCGTAAGGCAATGTCATCGTATTTCTCATCAGTTCATAGCACTCTACAGATGTTTCTCCCCACTGCCTATACACGCATCAACATATGCATCATCCGAGGCTCCCGCAGATTCTCGATGGAAGATCCTCCGCAACCGAACATATAAGTAGCTTCGATGCGCTCTTCGACCAGCCTAAATACAAGGACGCTGACCTCTCGTACACGCGTCATTCAAGTTGAAAGGCCATCATAAGCTTGTGCAGAGGAATAACCTGGGAATTTGTTCGAAAGGGACTTTGAGCAAGCGCGTCGTCGGACGAGGAAAGCTTTCACTAGGCGAGCACGTAAGGAATGCTGTCAATTGAGAAGGGCTTGTATGTGCGTGTGCCCGAGTTGGAGCACAATGCCTCTCGAGATTCTACTCCCAGTGTGCAACAAAATCTCGCCTTCCCATAGTATCACCGGCGTGTGTATTGGAACTCCTTTATTGGTTGCAAAAAAGCCATACACACACAGCGCCGACACAAAATACAGATGAGCTTTGAGTTCAAAGACGTCAGCAAGGAAGGGCGAACTTGAAGGAAGCTAAAAGTCGACATACCCTCAAACCAGTCTGCCGCCCATCAACAGGCTTCGAATGACTTTTTCATCGCCAGAGCCTCTAACTTCACATATTAAAACGGACACTCTCTTCCTCGTCGTTAACGGTAGTAGAATACAATACGTGCTGTGGAGAAGATCGGTGAGGGGGACGACTGGTGAAACTGTTATTCTCACATTAAGAACATCCCTCCCTCTATTTGCATCCTTTGGTTGTATGTCGCGCTCAGATGCTGGTCTTCTGTTGCATTATTGCAGCATGAATTTCTGGGCTGGACAAGCAAATACGGACGATGGTATGATCACATTGGACCAAGTGGATGATAGCTTTCGGTCGGGAGGTATTAGTTAGTAGATGCATTGGAGGATGTGAAATGAAAATTTCGCGACAACTAATTGCCGGTGTTGACCATTTTCCGGTAGCTTTGGACCGCCAATCCCTGCATGTGTTCATGATAGCATGAGGGATAACGGACACATGCCAGCGGTGTCATTCAGCAATATCCACAATGGCTACAATGACCAAAGCCTGGTGGGGTGCAGCGAATACCGTGGATGAGGGTGACCCCAGCGTTTCCTTCTTTCTATCAAGTGGGATATCAAAGAGGAACGAGCGAATTACATCCTGGGAAGAGTCAAGACAGACGTAGTCCGCCACTCCCTCACCGGTATTGAAAGCGACTTCGGACTGGGGACCTCCACAGTAATGGCGTCTTTGGTGTAGAATTGGAGGGGGAAAAACATGATTGACGAGCGGGATAGGGGAAGATGCTGCATCCTAACTCTGTCCTGGCTTCGTCTGCAAAGCCAAAAAGCAAGAAAAACACGAATACACCGAACCATTGCTACTGGTCCATCAACGTTCCCGCTAGCACTGACTTCCAGAGAGGCACTGTTATGTGATTTACCCGAGAGAAATCGTAGTGCACACTCTTCCAGCTAATCCAGGCCGCAAGGAGTGCATGTTCGAGACGAAAACGTGGGTTACGAGTGAGACCATTAATATCAAGCCCAGATGCCATGAACATAATGCGATAGCAACGACTTCAGTTCAGTTTTGAGTGAAAACCCCTTGAATTGGAAACGGCGTTGATTAGGAGGTGTCAGGGTTAGAACGATCATACGAAATACGTCGGATGTCAAGGACAAAAGCCATACGCAGTGCCGGCGCAAGATACAGGGGCTTGGACGACAAGTCAGCAAGGAAAGTGAAGGAGAATAACACGGACATACCCTCAAAATAGCCAGCAGGTTTCAAAACAACTCACTTTTCACCAGTCTCTGACTTCGCTAAGATAGCAGTCTCGTCCCGAGTCGAAACGTCAACAACAGTAGAGTACGATGTTGAAAGGCGATATATATACAGGAGTACTGCAGAGAAGACAGATGAGAGGGGAAGTAGGGCGTGGCGAGGAAAACGGTAAACATAGTATTATTTGAGGATGAGATCGTCTTGGAAAGTATATTTCGTGGTGTAAATCAAGGGGCGGAGGAGGCGATAAACGAGGAAGAGACGCATAAAGATGTCTCTCGTAGTGCTGGTGACGGCAACAAACGACGATGCTTCAAAGGAGACTGCCAATGAACGACTATTCCTTAGAGTCGTTGGAATGCGGTGACGACCTTGACCTTCTCGATAGCCTTTTCCCTGCCTTGGGCACCAGATAACCATCATGAGCTTAAACGTAGTGTCAATAACATTTCGGCGAGATGAGAATGGTGAACATACCCAAACGGAGTCGTACAACCAAGCATGTTCCCCTAGCTGAACCATGCATAGCCCCCAGGACATCGACTCTACAATCATCTCACAAGACGGACGTATTTCTCCCGTCCCTCTCTCCACCTACAAAATGCCAAATTCTATGCCCACCTTCCTCCTAGACACCGAAAGTGACACACTGACGTGTCGTCTATGTGAATCAACTTTAGGCGTTGTTCAAGTTGAGAGGCCGCCATCTTGAATGTTGACGTTGAACGTTAATTTGAAGAATCTCCGCGCGAAAAAAAAACTGAACAAAACCATGTCGAGAGAAGAGCTTCTGTTTGCGTGCGCATCTCCAGAAGCAAGGACAAGCAGATAGGGAATGCTGGTGGTCAGTCGAGGCTTTGTGTGCCTGTGCTTCCTGGATGTCGATGATGGTCGGAGGATGAAAAGAAGAATTTGGATCTGGCTCTTAATACATAATTCGTCCCGATCAGTGCAATTCCGTCTTCAAACCTTCAAACCGTACTTCCTTCCTTCCTTCTTCCTTCCGATGGATCTCATCCAGAGAAGACGACACTACTGTACTGATAACATCTTCACGCAAGGCTAGTAATCGAGATAATTCACATATTGAGTATATTATCAATTACTAAAATATTCTGACAGCAGTAGTTCAAGTTCTCAAAATCCAGATCCTAGTGACGAGAGCATCACCGCTGGACGAAACCGTGATTATGCACGCAGAGCTGATGTCTGCGGACTGCCTGATTGCCGCCATGTGTCCAGCATCATATATGTTACAGCCGAGGCATATTATGTCCGCCTTCATGAGGTCATTCCGATAATATGATGCCTCCCTCGTCTTTGGGCGTCCTTCAACATCGTGCTCAAGTTCATCAACATACTACCACAAAATCCCGTTAAAAGATGGCCTAAGGTAGTAAAAGGGCCTACCTTCGCACCACGTATGTCACCTCCTCATCCGCATGCATCACCCTAGCAGTTACCCATGCTTGGAGTAGAGGCCGAGTCACTTTAGATCATAAAAAATGAAACTTTAAAAGGTTTTGTTTGAGCGAAGCTTTATCAGCCCTGAAAAGGCCATCTATAAAAGGATATGAAAAACCTTTCCCCCTATAGAACAATGGAATTGAGATAACGTTTCATTTTACAGCACTCAAAACGACGGCGTAAAAACTGAAGCTGAAATCAAAACCTTTCGGAATCCCGTTTTACGCCATCAAAAACGCGGCAGCCACCACAGTGACAGCTGATTCTAAAATCAAGCGCAATCTGGTTGCACGTGTATGAGCCAGAGAAATTGACACATAACCAGCAGCAGTAGTTTCGATACCAATCTCCATGAGGACTAACTCGCGTACCGGGACCAAATCGCCATGGGAGCGACGACTATCGTGAGGTCGGGAGATCTACCTAGCGCAAGGTCAGTAATTAATTGGGAGGTAATTGATTGGACTAACGTTGAGCCATGTTATAGCATATGGTTGCATTTCCCAGTGTGGGATCCATTCCGCAAGAATCGATGTTCTTGACGTTGGAGTGATCGTTGTTCAGTACGCCTGAGCTAAACATTTTCGTGTTAACAAATAGTTCACGCCAGCGATGGGTGGCGGTTATTACGGAGGAAATGGAGGAAGCGAAGCACGAAGAGTGATGGGCTGACTTAAATGCGAAGGAACGTCTTGTAGTGCTCGTGAGGGCTCCCCGCTTTCAATGCGTGAAAGGAGGATAGCGATACACATGTGAAATATTGGTGCTTCTGGATTCCGACAGTAAGTATCATATTATGTATATGCTCTACATTGAAATACAGGTCGTGGTATTGGAGGACCACTGAAACCACCATTTTCTCGAAGTTTAAATAAGCGCTACAGTGGATAACTTTACAAGTCTACATACACCTGAAATAGAAAGAAAATATGGAATAATGAGCAGAGGGTTGGCCTCATCAAACTGAACGAGTTCGCGAGAAGGTTGTTAAAAAGCTCAAGAAGGCCCGCTTTCCGAGGGAGGAGGCCTTCGAACCTCAGGTGTAGGCAACCTGCGAATCAACGTCCCTCTACTAGAGGGTTGGGCCTCTAGTGGTAAGTTGCTCACCATCAAGGTGTCCACCGCTGACAATATCCTCGTACCCAGGCGGGAACGTTACAATATTGTTGCCACCATCGTCAGCGTCTATCCGACCCGCATCATTCTCCCGCTGAGGCCAGCGTTCATCGGAGGCCATACGCGATGAAGAGAGGTGTGCGTGTCCCAACGGTGCATTCGGAATTGAAGGTCCAGCAGCCACTGAAGCTCTTCTTGCTCCCTTTGGCATATGTTGGGAGGTGGTTTCCATCACGGTATACGGGGTAGGGATAGGTGTATTTGGGTGAGATATAATGAATGGGGACTGTTGATGGGGACTGATATAGGAACTCGTATTCACGTCGTTATGCTCTGGCTGTGTGCGTTGGCGACGTTGCTTGAAAAACCATATGATTAAGCAAAGGGAGATGACCGCGATGCCTCCTACAACTCCTCCGACGATGGCACCTATGGGGGTTTGGGAAGCGGAAGGTGAGGCTCTGGTTGATTGAGATACCGCCGGGGCAGTAGATGAGGACACAAAGATGGAGGAGGAGGATGCTCCGGATGTCCCTGTCAAGGATTCTGTAGCACTGGTAACGCTGTTATCTTCAATCTGGAATACAAATTTGTCCACCGTTAACTGCGAAGGTCCCCGTGAATCGTACTGGTTTTTTAAGATTATCTCATGTATTCCTAGCTGATCAAAGGATTTAGTGTATAGGATGTCCTGCTTGTATGGTGAGAATGATAGCGTAAATGGATGGATGCTCACACTCACCGGAGGACTTTCACTGTCGGCACCAGCTCTGACAGCGTCGATGATCTCGAATTTGGGATTTCCGAGATCACAATCGATACATATTGCATACAACCCCCCACAGCAGCGAGGTATGCTGTAGTAGTAGAAAGCATTAGCTTTTACTGAAAAAAAAAAAAAGAGTAAGTGTCATTTCGCAGGAGTTATGTCGTCGCAGGGTCTCACCAGGAAAAGTGAAGGTTACATTGGCTGTCAGGTCGTCTGTCCAAGTTAGCGTCCCAATTTGATTAACGCTAGAAGCATTGTAATCATCATAATTCCATGACCCAGTATATTTGAAAACATCGAGTCTGTCGTCACAAGTGTAGTTACTATAGCCAACCATGGCACAGTTGTATTGCGATGCTGCAAGAGCAAGAGTAAGACCAGTGATGGGGAATGTCGAGAGATGCTCTTAGAAACAGCACACAGTATCTTTGGATTAAATAGGATAGGCTCGAACGATCTGAGTATCATGATTGCAATCAGTGACAAGTAAATGCAAGGGGGTCCTAATAATGAATTAAAAGACAGTGGGTCGATTAAATAATTTCGTGCACCGACGATGGACCTACCTACCTTCACGTGACATTTATGATGTCATTATGCTAAATTTGGGTATCTTTCGACTCAATTCGGTGAATATTTTGCCTGAAATAGCCGTGATATTAATATTGAAAGTGTTTTGAACATAATCTGTACGCTATCAAGTCTAAATCATGGCTGTGCTCTAATGGGATGTCGTAATGTCACCATGTCCAGTCAGCAGGGCCACTTTGCAATGGCATTGACTGAGTGTTGGTATCGCTAGGTATGATGCCCTAAGGTAAGTAGCACACTCAGTAGCATATATTGTATCATGTATGCTCTAAAATTTACCCTTGAAGTCCATTTTTAGACCCCCAAAATGGTGGTCAACTTTTTTTTTTCGTGACCTCCGGCTGGACCTACCTACCTACCCGGTGTGCCGGGCCGGAATTCCAGTACCCCCTTGAGTAAATGATGTTGAAACAGGTCGGTACAATCCAAGTATTACAACTAAGAACCACCTGTTGAGCTTTTCAGCTTAAAACATGACAGAAGTTCGCAAATACCAAAGGATTTTCTACAAGTCTTGCAGTAAGTACTTAGGCTTGAAGCATGAAAATTTGAAATTTGAACATAGAAACACTGATATCGATCAATGTCCATAAGGTGGAGCCTCATTCAATCCGGACTTGTAATCAATTTCCTTGGCTGGCGCCAGTAACACCACCTCAGCATGGAGAGCACAACACTATTAATATTTCTCCTCATCGTCAGGCTGGAGTCCTCACGAGATGCAGATTTTTGCCAAATTCTCTCCATAGCTCGATTGGCGTCGCTCCCAAAAATAAAGGCTGCATATCACAAAATGCTTCGGCGTTCCTTTTTGGGACCTAAACCAGTTATCTATCTATCTATAGCACTGCCCAGACAAGAATTTCTTTCACAAGGAAAGCTGAACCTGTGTAGATATAAGTAACGGTAGATCAATCTTCTCTTCTCGAGGGTGTGCAATCACTACAAGCGTGGCAATTTTCGCGACCCTGAACGCCACCGCATCTGCCCTTGAGGCTTGGTCACAATTCCGACCGGCTGACTCCGGCTGACCTCTGTTGTTTTCAGCGCCGAGTCTCATGCTCGGGCCGGGACCTGACAGTCAGCCTCGGTGCTTATTTACTGAGCTGTATCAGCAGAGGTGGCCAATAAATCCAGTTTTCCGGATTTCAATCAGTTTATTTTAGTCTCATCCCGATCGTGGTACCCATGTCTTGCGGAGAGATGCTGCTTGCCGTGACCACAATATAACCAAACAATAAAGCATCGCAAACAAAAGTAGCCAATGAGAGAAGCAGTGCTACATCGGGTATAAAGACGGTACGGTCACCCGTGTGACAGGTGACAGGGACAGCCACGACCCTGTGCTCATGAGTCTTCGATCTGGACCCGCAGAAGAGAAAACGGACGGCATAAATGGGCGAGCCGCAAATAAGGCAGCGACTACGCAGGTGAAGGGTATCGGTCGATCGGGGAGGAGGAGGCGTAGGTAGGCCAGGTATTTATGTGTATAATATAATAAATAGAACATGCATTTTGAAGGAAGGGAAGGGAGGAAAGGAAGGAGGGGCAGAACAGAACAGACTCACAAAGTCGTTGTTCCCCTTGCCGGAAGGGAGAACGAGAACAACAAGGCGGGCGCCATGCTTGCTTTGTTGGAACAAAAAAAAGGAGAGATTGCTTTGTTAGAATAAAAAAAGGGGAGAGGGTTGAGAGAGTGTAGAGAAGAGCTTGAGACGAGACGAGATGCGAATCACTGTGTTTATGTAGACAGTAGGCATTAACCAACCAAAAGAATGCATGTCAGAGAAAAGAAGAATTTAATTTCACCCTTGCAGGTTTATCCTTGTGACCGTAGGCATGCAGCGCCTCATGCCGTACCTTGTACCCCTTTGCTAGGCCTGACTTGAACGTCTTTTCGGTCCGTAACCTGACCGTCTTTTTTCATGCTTCTGCGTGCTTCGAATGCACTTGATTCCCTGCCAAAAATCCTTGGAAGTCGACTAGAGCCTGAAAAATGACGTTCGGCTCATTCTCACGAGACGGTACGGTAAGTGCCCTGTTACGCGCCGATTGTCCTTTGTCCCTTTATCCTTGTGAGTCCAGCATTCTTACTCAATATACCCCGGCCGGGTCTATTGCCGCCGTTGCTACAGGCGGGGGACTGTAGATTGCGCTCATGTGTGCAGTGCAGTGCAGAGGAAAGAAATCTATAACAGTATGTACAATGTAGAACAGTAATTATAATGCATTGTGGTCTTAACTTGAATAAATGATCTTACAGAACAGCAGCGAGAAATTATTATCCGGTCTTTGG